TGGTCTGGTCTGAGCCCGTTCTGGTCTGGTCAGTTCTGGGTCTAAGCCCGGTCTGTTCTGGTCTGGTCCGGTCTGTTCTGGTCTGGTCCGGTCCGTTCAGGTCTGAGCCCGTTCTGGGTCTAAGCCCGGTCTGGTCAGTTCTGGTCTGAGCCCGGTCTGGTCAGTTCTGGTCTGGTCAGTTCTGGTCTGGTCTGGTCCGGTCTGGTGTGGTCTGGCTCAGAACTCGTTCTGGTCTGGTCTGAGCCGGTCTGGTCAGTTCTGGTCTGGTCTGGTCTGGTGTAGTCTGGCTCAGAACTTGTTCTGGTCTGGTCTGAGCCGTTTTGGGTGTGAGGCCTCAGAGAGGAAGTCCTCCCTGCTCCAGTTTCTGACCTCATTCAGCCTGAAGAATCTGCTTTATCCTCATTTATTTCCTCAGTGCTTGCATGTCAGTTTCTAGTTTCCTATCCCTGAACACAGGCTGCTCACTGTTACAGACTGATAAGAGGAATGAGTGCACAGGGGAGTGTGTGATCTGTACAATTAAAACCCTCGCGGAAGTGAAGAGCTGTAACTGCATGTTGATTCACACACACACACACAAAGGAAAAAACCCGAACCTCTTCTCTATACATTCGTTCCTTCAGCTGTTACTGCCTACAGTCAAAGGGCTGTGAGAATATCTTTCCTTCCACATGTGCGTAAGTGGCAAGAGCTTACTACAGCATTAGCCATGCTGTGCCCATGACTGTGCTGGTGGACACTTTAGATGCTATGGAATATCTCTTACATTTTCAAACATTTATTTTACACATCTTGTTATATTCATGTGATATTTTTGAATAAACAATGAGACACTAGATCAGGGAAGGGCAACTGGACCATATCAGTTTAGGATGTTAATTCTCCAACAAGGTGAGGGCGCTACTGCCGATCACCAGAGTAATTAAAGCATAGTAGGATTGTGTGCGCTAATGTCAATGAGCAAAAAGAAAAGAAGAAATTGAGAACGAAAATCGTGTTTTCCAGTCAAGATGGAAAAATCCTGACTGATTATCTTTTTAATGAGTTTAGAAAAAAAATCAGTAATGAAGGATTTTTATTTCATTTTTTAAATTTAAATCGACATTACACCACTGCTCACAAAGAGAAGTATGAAAGATACATCAGTGATGCCCGAATTGCTCTAATCTCCGATTTAAAAGGTAAAATACATCATCAGTAAAACCTTTTTGCCAAATTCATGATGGTGCAAGAATCATCACTAATGCGGTTTCCCTTGTGCTCTGACATTATCAGACGGGGAGATGGTAAAGCAGTGCGATTGAGATGGCTGAAGCTTTTGGAGACGAGAAAGTGGCCAAGAACTTTGAATCTGAATCTGTGTCACGCTGAACAGTGACGGGTCCAGTTTCTGACATTCAATGTGAAGTCCAAGAAAAGCTGAAACATGAAATCCACAATTGCAAACACTTTTCTCTCGCGCTGGATGTCAGTCAGCTTCTGATGTTTGTACGAACGATCACAGAGAACGCTGATGTTCAAGAGGAGCTGTTAAAGTTCTCGCACCACGAAGGAGAGGATATTTGTAAAGCTCTTGAGACTGTGGTGACTGTGAGGCTAAACTGTCTGCTGTTACTGATGGAGCACCAGCAATGCAAGGAACACAATCTGCATTCGTTTCTTCATAAGACTGGTAACTGTCCAGTACTGCACTGCATAGTACATCAGGTTAGTAGGCTTATTTTTTATTTCATGGTAACTTAAATCAAATGTTATGTGACGTGACGTGATTAGTAATCAATTTTCTTTGTTACAGGAGGCCCTGTGTGCAAAGATTCAGCCATGTCATAAATGTAGTGATGAGTCACTAATCTTATTCAAGGAAATAGGGCACTTAAGGTGGGTTAGATCGTACCTATCTGACCGTTACCATTTTCATTTTGTTTAAATGGGTTAAAATCTAAGATGATGTCAGTAAATTGTGGAGTGCCGCAAGGATCTGTGTTCGGCCTTCTGCTATTCTCAGTTTATATGCTGCCACCTGGTAATATTATAAGAAAACATAGAATTAGTTTCCACTGTTATGCCGATGATACTCTTATTATTTTATACTTAATTATATATTTCATCAGGACCAGATTAAATCTCTAAATTATCCAAGTTTACAGAGTGTGTTAAGGATATAAAATATTGGATAACCTGTAATTTTCTTCTATTAAATTCAGATAAGACTGAGGTAGGCTACTACTTATTTGACCATTACTAGCTGTTGTCCTTCATCCTCAATAAACAAGCTACAATTAGTCCAAAATGCAGCCGCTAGAGTTCTTACTAGGTCAAGAAGATATGTAAGGAATAATGTACATCCAGCCGGTTGTTCTCTCAAAACAACCCCTGACAGGGTGATAATGAGTCTTCATCAGCCTGACGGGGAACAACCGGCTGGATGTACATTATCCCGCTTATTACACGGCTTCTTGCCACATAAGTAAATAATTAGACATGAAATATTGAGTTGAAAAATTTTATTAGGTGTTTAAACGCAAATCTTCCGTATCTTATAATCCAACAGTGAACAGAACAATAGTCACAAAATGGCCGCCGCTGTGTTTGTGTGAAAAAAGAGAGAGCGAGTCCACGATACTGGATGGCATAATTAAATAACTGTAAACAAAATATTGATTTGTCTGAGTTTTAATAATTTATTAGCTCACCAAATGCAAAACTTCCACGAAGAATAAACGTTCCTTGCAATGTATAGCCCTGCTGACTTCAGTGACCCGGATGAGCCTGTGTTTCTGCTTTGAGTGGTTGTTATCTGGGAATAATATACCGCTGGAGGGTGCGATTGACCAATCAGAATCAAGTATTTCACAGAGCCGTGTAATAAGATCATATAACACCAATTTTATCATCTCTACACTGGTTACCTATTAAGTTCTGTATCAGTTACAAAAGTATTGCTACTGACCTATAAGGCCCTAAATGGTCTAGCTCCTGTGTATTCAACTGATATTCTATCGCCCTACAATCCATCTCGCTCTTTAAGCTCACAAAACTCTGGGCTTTAGATAGTACCTAGAATATCTAAGTCCACTAAAGGAGGGAGAGCGTTTTCACATTGGGCTCCTAAACTCTGGAATGTTCCTGATAATGTTCGGGGCTCGACTCGCTCTCCCAGTTTAAATTTAGATTACAGACGCATCTCAAGCATTCACATGATTATTACCGTATACTCCAGTTATTTCAGATCAAGTGCACATGATTATTACCATATACTCCAGTTATATCAGATCAAATGCACATGATTATTACTGTATACTCCAGTTATATCAGATCAAATGCACATGATTATTACCGTATACTCCAGTTATATCAGATCAAGTGCACATGATTATTACCGTATACTCCAGTTGTATCAGATCAAATGCACATGATTATTACCGTATACTCCAGTTATATCAGATCAAGTGCACATGATTATTACCGTATACTCCAGTTGTATCAGATCAAATGCACATGATTATTACCGTATACTCCAGTTGTATCAGATCAAATGCACATGATTATTACCGTATACTCCAGTTATATCAGATCAAGTGCACATGATTATTACCGTATACTCCAGTTGTATCAGATCAAATGCACATGATTATTACCGTATACTCCAGTTGTATCAGATCAAATGCACATGATTATTACTGTATACTCCAGTTGTATCAGATCAAATGCACATGATTATTACCGTATACTCCAGTTATATCAGATCAAGTGCACATGATTATTACCGTATACTCCAGTTGTATCAGATCAAATGCACATGATTATTACCGTATACTCCAGTTGTATCAGATCAAATGCACATGATTATTACCGTATACTCCAGTTATATCAGATCAAATGCACATGATTATTACCGTATACTCCAGTCAGATCAAATGCACATGATTATTACCGTATACTCCAGTTATATCAGATCAAATGCACATGATTATTACCGTATACTCCAGTTGTATCACATCAAATGCACATGATTATTACCGTATACTCCAGTTATATCAGATCAAGTGCACATGATTATTACCGTATACTCCAGTTGTATCAGATCAAATGCACATGATTATTACCGTATACTCCAGTTATATCAGATCAAGTGCACATGATTATTACCGTATACTCCAGTTGTATCAGATCAAATGCACATGATTATTACCGTATACTCCAGTTGTATCAGATCAAATGCACATGATTATTACCGTATACTCCAGTTGTATCAGATCAAATGCACATGATTATTACCGTATACTCCAGTTATATCAGATCAAATGCACATGATTATTACCGTATACTCCAGTTGTATCAGATCAAATGCACATGATTATTACCGTATACTCCAGTTATATCAGATCAAATGCACATGATTATTACCGTATACTCCAGTTGTATCAGATCAAATGCACATGATTATTACCGTATACTCCAGTTATATCAGATCAAATGCACATGATTATTACCGTATACTCCAGTTATATCAGATCAAATGCACATGATTATTACCGTATACTCCAGTTATATCAGATCAAATGCACATGATTATCTTTTCTTAATGTGAGTCAGTGAGTGCAAGCAGTGAGCGAGGACCGGTGCACTCGTGACAACTTCTTCTCACCAGCAAAATTTATATTTGAACTGAGATTTGGATGCATACGGTCTGTCCATTCCTTTTTCTTATTTTCTTCTACAGCAGACGAGTGGAAACCCAAGCACAACATCGAAACAATTCATGCGGTTAATATATAATCTAAAAATAAGGCATTGCTGCTATTCTGATGTCAGCCATCGAGATGCCGATAGTGGAGGAGAATAGAAGTAAATTTCATTAAACGTTCAAATAAATCCCAAAGTAAAACAACCATGTGCTGAACAGCGAGACTTGGACGTTTAGTTGGTCGTGAACAAAATCAGCACAATGAAAAAGTGTATGAAATGCCAGATTAGGAGGTATGATTTATTCTCTCAGGAAGGGCTGCTGGTGGAATATCTCTCTTGTCTCAAAGTGGGAGCCTCCCTTCAGGAGCCGCAATTAATGACATGCGATTGTTTAAGCTGTGGCCTTTCCCATCCTCAGCACACAGAGAGGAAACAGGAAAAGGAACTCCAACTCCCTGTGCCTGAACAGAGAGAGGGGTGGAGACGCTGGAGGAAAAGAAAGGGAGAGTTCATTTGAGTCAGGATCGAGGGATGTGTGCGGACGGCAGTTTCTGACAGACACTCGGTCTCTGGGACTGAACGCTCTTCTCTGTGGATGTGCACGAACTGGTCGGCTGTGTCTCGCGGGGACCATGAGTCACATGTCCTCCGTCACGCTGTGTCTGATTGGCTGCTTGCTCACAGGTAACGCTGGGCTTCCTTCACTCTGTCTCTCTGGTTTCTGCTCTATGGGACTCCAGGGGTTTGTGGTTTGTCTGTATTTGTTGTATTGGTGGCTCTGATCATTAAGATGAAACAGATCCCATTTCACAATAGCCGAAACTTCTAATATCATGTTTTCAAAATATGAAAAATTATTTTGCACGAATATTACAGTACACTTTGCCGTAATGAAACTTGTAAATAACAGAAAGTTAGAGAGGTAATATTATGTTTAAATTCAGATTATTGATGTATTGTTTTGGTTAGTGAGATAGTTTAAACATTGACATTTTTATTTTGCCAAACTAGTAGACTAAAAAATTTTGTCTTTTAGTTTTTCATTGTTGAATTTCATTTCATTGTTGAGTGTGTAGGTGTGTGTGTGTGTGTGTGTTGTAACCACCTACAATAACTCTTTGGCTGTTTCTTGCACTACACATGACCCATGTCCAATTATAATAAACAATCTTTTGTGTTGAGTTTCTTTATAAGTTTCTCTATCATGATACTACGGAAATGGAAAGGGGACAGCAATGATTTAATACCTTTCTGGCTCCAGCTTAATTAAATAAATAAGAATAATGTAAGTTTAATGCAGTAATCCCCTTAGCCGTTGACCGGTTCATTCTGAGACTCTGACACCAGATCTTCCTCCACAACCCACTATTACACTGACAAATCTTCAAAATATTCCCATCACCAGTAATGTGAAGTAGTGCAAGAGAGTGAGCCTGACCGACACATGAGACATTTATGACGAACATACTTTGAAAATTGCTGAAAATTGCCCGATTTATGCAGTTTGTTTCAGCTGATTGTGGCAGAGAAAGAAGTAAAACGAAAATGATCAAATAGAATTTGAACTACACGCCATTGCTGCTCAATCCTTAAATATTACACAGTGATGAAGTGCAAGGCATATATATGTAGAATAAAGTCTTCACCTTTATTTATTTAGCTCTTTATACAATACAGATTGTTTCAAAGCAGCTTTACAGAGATAAAAAGGGAAATTATGGATTTCATGTGTTGTTCAGCTGAAGTCAGTTTAGTGTTTAGTCAGTTCTGTTGTACAGATCATCAGTTATTAAATTAGTTCATTTCTTCTATAAAGCAGTTCTGGAGAACACAGTGATGTCATTATCAGCTCAACTCTCGTACAGCAGCGTCAGTGCGTCCAGATCAATAACACTGTTGGATATTAAGTGTCCACAACTAATGAAGAGGCGACAGCAGCGCGAACACAAACATCAGTGACAGAATAGAGTAAAACCCTTGAGAAACCAGACTCTGCCGCTCAGTTCTCCTCTGGCCTGATAAACCAACATGATGTGGTTTAATTCCTGGCTGTATCACTAGTCAAATTGCAGATTTATGTCATTCAGAATATTTTTTCCAGTTCTCTCTGCGTGAAGATTGGTATACAGTACGCCAGCATGTGGTGGGGGAGTCGAAGCTGGCCATCGGGTCTGCGTAGAGGATAAAGTGATGTCAGATGTGAAGAGAGACGCGTACGTTCATGTTCCCTCACTAATCAGTAAAGCAGAACAATATTATCAAGCTAGTGTTGTACTACTACACTCAAAGATAAGAAAGAAGTCATTATTCATCTTGACAGCCTTGTTTGGCTGTTGGTTTAAAAGCCCAACACCCTTTACACTCACACATACTCACAGATTCTTTTCCCGCCCTAATTAGTTCCAGTCTTATTTATAGCCCATCAATCCAGATACAATATCTCAACTGCGCACACAGTGATTTAAGGTGTACAGTAACAGTTTTCAAATCCCTTCTCAAACAGAAATCGATTTCCAACACCATGAGTAACACCGTCACCAGTGCGTTTAGCTGACCTTGCCTTCTGTATGTCTGTAATGTTTTCAACTGTGAATATACAGTAAGTGTGAGAGAAGTGAGAAGGTTTCTCGAGAAACAGGAGCCCAGAGGAAGCTCCAATGAGGCCCGGTCGAGAAAGTGGAAAGTGTGTTTCTGTTTCTGAGTCTTACGTCAGCTGTATTTGTGTCTCTGTCATGGACCAGTAGTTTTATGGCTGTATTTCAAAGTGTTGTAACATACAGTGTTTTATGCGGTCAGAGTTGAATTGCTGAAGTGTTTGAGTCCTGGAGTGTTTCATAGGGCATCATAACACACAGAGAGATTATGCAACAGGAAGTTAGAGTCGGTTTGAGTCTCATAATGTCCATGCCACATAAAACAGGCACATGATCTCCATATTAATGGCATAATGAATTGTTTGCACATTCCCTGAAAAAAATGATTGAGAACTGTTGTTGATGTTGATTAGTTTGATTCAGAATCGCATCAGCTGTGCTACTAAATTAGAAAGAGTTTTATTGACGAAGGAAGATGGCGTCGTGGAGTATACACGTCTTTTGATGAGCTCCCGTAACATTAGTTCAAATATTCGGTCAATTTATATTTTTACTTAGTGAAATCATTCTTGCCAAAAAAGTGGACGAAATGTCAGCGCACATCGACGATCTGGAGATCTGGTGTAATTTGCGTCTCGGTTTGCCTGATGGGACGGAAGGGAGTGATCCGGTCCAGTTCTTTGAGAAGTGGCTTCCCGATTATTTAAAGATGGCAACGAAAGCAGGACGGATGAAGCTTGATCGTGCTCGTCGCTCTTTGGCAGCATTACCAGGTCCTAAGCAACGACCCAGGCCTTCATCATGAAGTCCCGTACCTTTACGGACGTGTGTTGAGCGCAGCTCGTCGTGTCGGCAGGGATCCCGAAGGAGCGCTGACACATGTCCGAGGATTTCATTCTTCAATGATTATTCTGCGATGGTGATGAAGAAACGTAAGGCGTTCGACGATGTCAAGAAGCGACTGCAGAAGATTGAGCTTGAGGATGCCCTGCTGTATCCTGCGACTCTGAGGTTGGCCATCACTGGGACAGGGAAGCGCTTCGCCCCGCCAGAGGATGGGAACTTGATGAAGTTTCGCGGGCAGTTGCGGTGCATGAACAGAGTAACTCGCTGAGTGAAGATTTATCATGTTGCTGAGAGCGTGCTGAGGTTTGGGTGTTCAGAGAAGATGGTGTTTCTTCAGTTGCCTGCAGAAGGGAAGAGTAAGAGTTGTTCTTCCTGCATGTTTGTTTACCATTAAAAATTTCAAACTGTATTAAAGAGAGAGACGGTCGCTATGTTATTATTGAAGGTGTGCTACAGGGTAAAACTATTCTCATACTGAACATGTACTGTACTATCTGACTTTGTTACAAAAGTGTTTCTAGACTTTTTATTTTCAGGTCAGCGGATTTAACAATTGTGGGTGGAGATTTGAATAGTGTAATGAATCCTCGTGTAGATAGGCACCCACACAGCTCTGCATCTCGAACTGTTCTGGGCTGCGTTTCCCAAAAGCTTCGTAAGCCTAAGTTGATCGTAGAGACCATTGGTGGCAATTGTTCTACGATCAACTTAAGCTTACGATGCTTTTGGGAAACCCAGCCCAGATCTCTGCAGAATATTTGTAAAGATCTTGGTTTTGTAGATGTCTGGAGAACTCTTCACCCTGCCGATAAGGAATATACATTTTTTTCTACCTCCTATCACTGTCAGTCGAGATTAGATTCTTTTTTATGCCAAAAACGGATCTGCATTTAGTACTATCTTGTAATATAGAGAGTATTTTACTGTCAGATCATGCCAGTGTCATTTTGGAGCTTCAATTTAGGAATACAGTGGACAGTTCTATACAGTGGAGATTTAATATTGCAACCCTTAAAGATTTCCTTAAAGACCCTTGCATTTACAGTTTACTTTTCTTCGGAATTTAAATCCTTTCTATCTATTAACTCTTTATCCACAGATAACTCATCTCTATTATGGAAAACCTGTACAAAGTACGTGGGAGGGCGGAGCTTGGCTAGCTAATTATCTCATTTACTTCATCTAAAAAACGTCAAAGAATGTTGAATCAAAGAGCCTTGGAGGATTAGTTATTGGTTATGGAAAAAATGTATAATAGATCTCCTTCTGCAGATTTATTAAAAGAGTTACAAGCAATTAGACTGTCGGCTCTAGACTGTCTCCTTACTGTGGATGCAGAGAAGAGAATAAGATACTCAAAACAAAGACTTTATGAGCATGGAGATAAACCTGGGAAATGTTTTAGCATATATAAAATAAAAAAAGTGCAGCATCTCAGTTTATTGCTACTATTGTTGACTCAGATGATAATATTTTCTATGATAATAAGTAGTTTTATATAAATGTATATTCTTCGGAGAAAACGGATGACCATCTCAAACAAACGGTTGACTTTTTTTTCTGAGATTAATATTTCAATAATTTCAGTTACACAAAAAGAATAGACAGGAGGTTACGGATGATATTAATGCTCTAAAGAACAGTAAATCCCCTTGGCCAGATGCGTTTAGCGGAGAGTTCTTTAAGGAGTTTCAAGAGTTGCTTGTAGACCCATTACTTAATATGTTTAACTATTAGTTTGTGATTAAAGAATTACCAAAGACCCTTAGAGAAGCTAATACCTCTCTTATTTTAAAGAAAGATATAAAAAAAGCCCTGATTTATGTTCTTCTTACAGGCCAATTGCATTACTGAATGTAGACCGGAAATTGCTTTCTAAAATTTTAGCAATGCGCCTTGAAAAAAATCTGCCTACGATAATTGGATTTATGCAGGGTAAGAATTGTTCTGATAATATTAGACGCCTTTTAAATGTTATGTATGCCTTTAAAGGGAAATCCATAGATGGGCTAGTGCTGTCTTTGGATGCGGAGAAGGCGTTTGACCGTGTGGAATGGTCCTATCTTTTCTTTGTTTTGGAAAATTTGGTTAAGGTGAAAATGTTGTGCAATGGATCAGAGTGCTGTATACGGACCCACGCTCTGCTGTATGGAGGAAAGGCTGTAGATCTGAGTATGTTCCTCTGCATAGAGGCGCCAGGCAGGGTTGCCCATCACCGTGTTTATTTGCGATTGCTATAGAACC